ATATAAAAAAGATTCTAGGCCTGGCTTGTGGCTCACCTGTAATTCCCAGCACTTGGGAAGCCAAGGTGAAGTGGATTGCCTGAGCCCACGGGGTAAAAGACTAGCCTGGGCTACTGGGCAAAGACCTCGTCTCTACAGTAAATAAAAAATTAGCCGAGAATGGTAGCACACGCCTGTAGTTCCGATTACTTGGAAGGCTAAGGCAGAAGGATCGCTGAAACCCAGCAGATCAAAGCTGCGGTGGCCATGAGCGTGTCACGGCACTCTAGCGGGGCAGACAGAGGAGACTCCAACCAAAAAAGAAAAAAAAAAGGGCCGCCAAGTTCCAGTTCTCACCTCTCCCACGAGCTGGTGTGGGAGTGCACCAAAAAATGGTGAGTGGAGGGGGCGGGCGATCCCGGGACCTCCGGGACCCCTTCTGGCCTCTGGGCCTGGGAGAACCTTGCCCCCGGCCCCATGGCCAGAGGGGCCCCACCTCGCCTTGGGCCCTGGTGTCCCTGGCACGGAGACTCAGAAACGTCCTTGGAACCCGTGGGACCCCTGGAATTGGGGGTGCGGGCAGCCTTCCGGCGCCGGGGTCAGGACTTCAGGTCTGACGTTCAGCCGGGGTCCACGTTTTCCTCAGTTGTGGTCGCGGCTGGGGAGGGGGCCACATGTCTTGGGCCAGAGAGGTGGTTCCGGGTGGCATTGGAAACGGCAGCGAATTTTGAGGTCCACAGGTAGCCAGGGCTGGGGCAGAAACCCCGTGGGCTGTAGTCGAGCCCAGATCGAAGGCGTTGCCCCCTCCTTCCCAGCCCCTGGTTGAGCCAGAAGAACCCCCTAACCCCCGCCCCTTCAGCCAGAGCCAGTGCCCGGAGCCTGGAAGCCTGGAAACATCTTCCACGATGTCCTTAAAAGGGGAAACTGAGTGCCAGGAGGGAGGCGGGGAGCTGCTTAAAGGGGCCGGAGGGCCTAGGAGGCTGTGGGTCCAGGAGGACATGTGGCAGGGTGAGGGGGCAACCCATGAGAGGGTGCAGGCCCCAGCCCGGACTGTCAGAGGGCCCAGGGGCATCCCGTTCACATGCCCCCCCCCGCGGCTGCCTGGACCCCTGCGTCACACCCTAAATATACGTGCTCGCTGGTGTCAGCTTCCCTTGGCTGGATTAGGGCACAGCTGTGGGGGCCTCACCCGCCAGGCGGGGCTAAATTTAGGCTCCCCGGGGAAGGGCCGGGCCGGAAGGGCCTAGGAGGTCCAAGGGGAGACAGGGGGCAGGAGGCTGGGGTCCCCAGGCAGCTGCTGTGGTCTGGGTCTTGCCCACACTGGGCCTGCCAGAGGGTCATTCATTCGGTTCATTCAGCAGAGCCCATCGAGGTCCAGGGCTGGCCAGGATAACACAGCAAGGGGCTGGCCTTGAGCTCTGGCCTCTGGCCTCTGCTTCAGCAACGCCGGGCGAGCAGGCTGAGGGTGCCGGCAGTGTCAACGCGGCTGAGTCACAGGCGGCAGTGGGCAGGGCCTCCTGGGCCTTTTAGCTTGGAGCCCAGGCCAGGAAGCTGCCCCTGCCCAGGTCACAACTTCCCAGGAGGGTGTGCCCAGCCTGATTCAGGCGCCAGCCAGGCCCCGCCCTCCCTAGGCACCCCCTGGTCGCTTCCTCTTTCTGGGAAGGTCCCATGGACACCCTTGCTCGGCCACCACCTGCGGTTTGAGGCTGGGGAAGGAAGCTGGGCTCTGGGCCGGAGGGTCAGCTGTGTGACCTTGCTTGGCCCCCAACTTCTCTGGGCCCCAGTATCTTCAGGGGTGATCCTGGCTTGGCCTCCAAAAGAACAGTGGGCTGGGCAAACCCGGGCGTCCTGGTATGGGGCTGGGTACGGGCAAAGAGGGCTCCGGATTGCCCTGGCCTGACCATCCCCTCAACCATCCCCGCTCCTGGACAGCAGTTGAACACTCTAGCCCAAAGGGGCCCTCTCCCTGCCAGGCCCAGCCACGTGTCCGCTCAGTGTTTGAGAGTGAGCCCTGCACGGCCATCTTTTTCTTCTAACTGCCTCTCTTCTGTGTCTGCCCTAGTTCAGCTTAGATGTCACTCCCTGGAAGTCCTCCCTGATTGCCCCCTACCTTCCGGGCTCCAGTGTCATCATCTCCCTGCAAAGCCATGGGAATCCAGGGCTCTGGGTCGGGGGAGGTGGAGGTGCTGGCTGGCTCTCTTTGGGGTCCATGGGCAAAGGGCTGGGCACGGTGGGGTAGGAGTTGTCTAATGACAAGCTGACCCTGTGCCTCTCTGAGCTTACCTCCCACCCTCGGCCCCTCGCTCTCACCCCGCCCCTCCCGCAGCCCCATGCCCTTGGACTTGCTTTTCCCTCTGCCCAGAGCCCTCTTTCTCCAGGTCCTCCCATGGCTCATCCCTCCCCCACTCATGCCTGCTCCTCCGCCCACCTCAAGGAGCCACCAGGGCCTCTTTCATATCACCCTGGAGTTCGCTGGTTAACTTGTTTCCTTCTCGACTAGCACCCTGCCCCATCTCCATTGTCCTCAGCTCCAGAAGGGTCTCACCTCCCTTCTTCCCTGTCCTGCCCCAAAACTGTTTATGGTGTGCCCTCCACACGCATTTGTGAGGGAGTGGACGTCTCTTATTCTGAGTCTTTGTCCCTCCCTGGGTCTGGAGTCTGTGTGGGCATGTAGGTCTGTGTCTGTCATCTCTTGCTGGGTCCCTGCTGTGTTTCCCTGCGTCTCTGCCTCCGTGCGCTGGTCTCTGACTCTCTTGCTGTGCTTCCCGTAGTCCCTGCCGGCCCACACTGTCTGGGCCTTTGCCCTTCCGTTCCCGCCCCACCCTGCTTCAGCGGCCTCACCCTGCACCCTGTGGCCCCAGATAAGGGGCTCCCCAGGCCCTCTCCTGAGAGGAGAGGGGGGTGGGCAGAAGGAGGACCCCGAGGGAGCTGGGGAGGAGGAAGGAGCGGAGATGGGGAGGCTGGCGGGGCTTCCCTGAGCAGCCCCCTCTCTGGCACCCCTCCCCCAGGCAGCCGGACAAGCTGGTGGTGGTGTGGACCCGGCGGAACCGACGCATCTGCTCCAAGGTGGGGGTGGGTGGCGACTGGGGTGCAGGCTGAGGATGGGCCAGTGGCGGGGGGCATGGAGAAGGCTGGTAGGAGCTGATGGGGGAGTAGAGTCAGGTTCAAGTTCAAAATCCAGAGAGGGGAGAGGAAGATGGGGTCAAGGTTGGAGAAGAGGGCACGGAGTTGGGAGGGAGAATTAAGATGAGGGACAGGACTCAGAGTGCCCTGTGTAGGCCCACAGCTGGCAGCCAGGCATCCAGAATCCATACCGGGGCACCGTGGTGTGGATGGTTCCTGAGAACGTGGACATCTCCGTGACCCTCTACAGGGTAAGTCTAGCCTTCCACTATAGATGCCAGTGGGCAGGCTGTTGTAACCTTGGGCAGCCATGGGTCATTCACCCAAACAGGGAGGAATACAGGGGCGAGACCAATAATTTAGGGGGACTTTGATTCAGCATGAGTGGCCCAGGAGGTCTCCTCGGAGGAGGCAGCATTTACCTAACACGTGCAGCTTGGCCAACAACTGGGATCGGAAGCCGGGGCACATCCAGGGTGTGGGGGCTGCGTGGGTGGGGGTCCCACCCAGCAGCTCCTGGGCCAGCACAGGCCGCTCTCCCTCACTCCCACCCTGTACTCACCAGCGCCCTCTCTTCCCAGGACCCCCACGTGGACCAGTATGAGGCCAAAGAGTGGACGTTTGTCATTGAGAACGTGAGTGGCCGGGGTGAGCTGGGGCCTAGGGTCTTGGGGGTCCTGGGGTGGCCCTGATGCCCCTTCCCCCGGTCTCTCCCAACCCACAGGAGTCCAAGGGGCAGCGGAAGGTGCTGGCCACGGCTGATGTGGACCTGGCCCGCCATGCGGGGCCGGTGCCCGCCCAGGTTCCCCTGCGTTTGCGGCTGAAGCCCAAGTCGGTGAAGGTGGTACAAGCTGAGCTGAGCCTCACTCTCTCGGGGGTGCTGCTGCGGGAGGGCCGTGCCACGTGAGTGCCCACTCGCCTTCCTTGGCCCTGACCTGTGACCTCTGCCCCCAGCCCTCACCTCTGTCCGCTGCTCCCCAGGGACGACGACATGCAAAGCCTTGCAAGCCTCATGAGCGTGAAGCCTAGTGACGTGGGCAACTTGGACGACTTTGCTGAGAGTGACGAGGATGAGGCCAGCGGCCCAGGGGCCCCCGAGGCCCGGGCTCGCGTCCCCCAGCCAGGTGGGCTCACAGCTTGCCGTGGATTGAGGAGTGCCTGGGTCACAAACCCCTCGCTTGTGCCTGTCCTGTGATGGGAGCTTGTTACTGCCCACGCAGTCCTGCGCGCCCGGAAGCCCTTTCTGTCCAAGCTTGACCCTTCTTGGTTCCGTGGCGACTCAGCCCTGAGCTGAGTCCTGCAGGATGGAGTTCCAGTGCCTCCTCGTGCCCCTGACCCTCTCCCCAGCCCTGGGGGGTGCATTCCCAGGCTGGGGCCTGACCTGAGGCAGCTGGGTCAAAAGCCCATCTCCCCACCCCTCACCTCCCGTTTCCACCCTCCCACACCCCCCGACTCCTGTCAGCCCCAGCATTCCCATCCCACCCCAAGCTGCCTGTCCAGGCTTTTTTCCTCTGTCCCCTGTTCTCTCTCTCTCTCTTTCTCTCTGCATCTGTGGGCCTGTCTCTTCTCGCAGGCCGGGGCGGTGCCCTGAGGCCAGGGCGTTTCCCAGGTAGGCCCTGCACTCCAGCTCGGGGGGAGGGCGTCAGGTTTGCGGGGCCCTGCCCTGGACTGACTCTGCCTTCCACCCACCCCAGATCCCTCTCGGGAGCTGAAGACACTTTGTGAGGAGGAGGAGGACCAAGTACAACCCCGGCAGGCAGGTGAGGCCCAGGCTGGGGCCGGGGGTGGGGACTGGACCCACGATCACAGGTCCAGGCCTCAGCGCCCTTGCCCTCCCTTCTTCCTCCCCAGCTGCCAGTCCTCCTGGTGCTGAGGATACCAGCCCCGCCCCTGTGAGTGTCCCTGCGCCCCCGGCCAGGGCCTGCCGGGGCCAGGGATCAGAACCAGCTGCTGGAGCAGGGGGCCAGGTGGGCCTTGAGGCCCCGAGGCCCCCGGGAACCCCACCGGGAATGAGGTGAGCTTTGAAGCCAGCCCCACCCCACCCACCCCCTGTCCACTGGAAGGAACTACACCCCGCAACCTGCGTACCCAGGGACCCGGCAGGCTGAGGGGCAGAGGGTGGAGCTCAGAGGTGGGGCCCCGTGAGCCCACCTAACACCCCCTCCTGCTCTCTCCTCAGGTCTTCCAGGCAGCCAGTCCAGGATATGGCCCCCACCCCGGCCCCTCGGCTCCGGAAAGGCTCTGACACTCCCCGGCCCCCAGTCCCCCAAGGGGAGGATGAGGTCCCCGAAGCCTCAGGGGCTCCCCAAGCTGGAGTGGGTTCTGCCAGGGAGACCCAAGCCATCCCTCAGGAAGGGGCAGAGGCCCACGGAGTGAGGCTGGGCCCAGGCATCGAGGATGAAGGCTCCAGAGCCTCTCTGGGAGGACAGAGACCCGAGACTGAAGAGGGGGACACTGGGGACAGGCCAGAGGCCAGTGGGGTGGATGCTCAGCACAGGTCAGGAGGCAGAGAGGGGAACACTAAGAGGTCAGAGGTCAGAGCTGAAGAGAGTTCAGAAGTTTGTCAGATGGATGCTGAGCAGAGGTCAAAGGTGAGACATGGGAACACGAAGGGACCAGAGGCTACCGGGGTGATGCCTGAGGCAAGATTCAGGGGGACCCCTGAAGCTCCTCCAAGGAGCTCTCATGGGAAAGTAGGAGTCAGGACCAGGGAAGAGGCTCCCACAGGCCTGAGCCCAGCGCCAGAAGAGCCTACGGGGCACTCCAGACGTCTCAGTGACCTCAAGGGGGCCAGAGATGGGGCATGCCAGGAGAGAGAGGGTGCAGAGGTGAGGGTTGGAGCCCCTGGTGTTGAGGGGACCGGAGCCACAAGCACCGGGCCTCAGGTGAGCGGGTGTCAGGAGACTTTGTTATCAGCTGACCAGGGGGCAACAGCTAGGGAACTGGGGTCCTGGGGGGCAGAAGCTGGGCATTCAGGGGTCCTGGGGCCAGAGGGTGAGGTGGCAGAGTTAGAGGTGTCGGGGACCCAGGAGAAAGAAGTGGGGGTGTCAAGGTTCCCAGAGATTGGGATGTTAAGAGCTGAGATATTGGGGGCCCAGGAGATAGAGGCAGCAAGATCAGGGGTCCTGGAGTCAGAGGCTGCTGAGACGGCAGAGTCTAAGGTACTGGGGACCCTAGAAACAGAGGCTGGTGGTTCAGGAATTCTGGGGACTAGGATATCAGAGACTGGGATATTGGGGACCCAGGAGATATTTGGGGGCTCACGAGTACTGAGGATAGAGGATAAGGTAGTAGAATCTGAGATACTAGGGGCCCAGGAGACAGAGGTGGGGGGTTCCAGGGTACCAGAGATAGAGGCTGAAACATTGGAGGTCAAGGAGACAGCTGCCAGGAGCTTAGGGGTCCCGGAGATAGAAACTAAGACAGCAGAGTCTAAGATACTGGTAGCCGAGAAGACAGAGGTGGAGGTTTCAGGGGTCCTGAGGATAGAGACTGGGACAGCAGAAGCTACAATATTGGGGACCCAGCAGATAGCATCTGGGGGTTTAGGGGCCCCAGGGATAGAATTCAAGATAGCAGAGGCCCGGGAGACAGAGGTGGAGGGTTTTGGGGTTGCAGGGGTAGAAACTGGGAAAGAAGCTGAGATGTGGGGGGCCCAGGAGATAGCATCTGGGTGTCCAAGGGCCCCAGAGATAGAAGCCGAGATAGGAGAGACCCAGGAGATAGAAGTAGGGGCTTCAGGGGTCCTGAAGATAGAGACTGGGACAGCAGAGGCTGCAATATTGGGGCACCAGGAGATAGCATCTGGGGGTTCAGGGGTCCCTGGGTTAGAAGCTGAGATAGCAGAGACCTGGGAGACAGAGGTGGGGGATTCTGGGATTGCAGGGATAGAGACTGGGAAAGCAGAAGCTGAGATATTGGGGACTCAGGAGATAGCATCTAGGAGTTCAGGGGTCCCCAGGATAGAATCTGAGATAGCAGCGTCCCCGGAGAGAGAGGTGGGAAATTCAGGGGTCTCGGGGCCAGAGGCTGAAGTACTAACAACCCAACAGACAGAAACCACAATTCTAGAGGCTGAGAAGGCAAAGGCTGAGACTTCAGGAGTCCGGGAGGCAGAGCCTGGAGTCTGGGGGTCTCCCAAATACGAGAATTTAAGGATCCCAGTCACTAAGGCAAGAGTTTTAGAGTCCCAGGAGGCAGAGGCAGAGATTTCAGGAGTACAAAAGTCAGATAGTAACGCTTTGAGGGTCCAGAAGGCAGAGGCTGGGATTTGGGGGTTGTCAGAGGCCAAATCTGGGGCTTGCGGGGTCCAGGAAGCCGAGACAGAGGGTTTAGGGTCTCCAGAGAACAAATCTGGTATTTTTGAGGCCCAGGAAGCAGAGGCTGGGGTCTTGGGAAACGAGAAGGGACAGGAAGCTGAGGGAAGCCTCCCTGAGGCCAGCCTGAATGAAGCCCAGGCAGCCAGTGGGACAGGGGCTGGGGTGCCCAGGCCCTCGGGGGCCTCTTCCCCAGAGGAGCCTGAAGAGGACAGGAGGCTGCCGGGCAGCCAGGTAGGGATGGGGGCCACCGCGGGCCAGTCTGCTGCTTGCCACTAACCTGGGGCTGAGCGAACAGCGGCTCTGCATGGACCCACCTGGTCGACTGGGATGGGATGGGGTGGGGGACTCAACTTGAAGGAGCCCCCCTCCCCTCCTCTCTCAGGATGCCCTGGCTCTCCCATCCCATCTTCCCTGGGCCGCATGGAGCTGGACATCCCTAAGCTGATTTTCTGGGCTGACCTTGAGGTGTGGCTGCTGGTGACCTCTGATCTTGCCCGGGGGCCATTGACCTTTTAGCCGACCTTGGCTAAGATGATCTTGGTGCTGGAAAAACCTTTTTGCCTGGCCCCAAGGCTTTGGCCAGTGGTCTCCGATGACCCCTGCAAGCTCAGAGCTGGGGCCGTTTTGGGCCAGGCCTGAGCTTTCCCCAAGGGGCGGAGGGCACAGGTCCTATGGTGACATTCCCTAAGCCCATCCCTGTGTCCCCAGGCACCACCCACCCTGGTCAGCTCCAGCCAGTCCCTGCTGGAGTGGTGTCAGGAGGTCACCTCAGGCTATCGTGGCGTCCGCATCACCAACTTCACCACATCTTGGCGCAACGGCTTGGCCTTCTGTGCCATCCTGCACCGATTCTACCCGGACAAGATGTGAGCTGTGGGGGAGGGTGCTGGGGCTGTGAGCCAAGGAGGGGACAAGAATGAATGGGGCACCTGCAGGAGGGCGGTGTGGACCCAGCCTCTGAGCGTTGTTCTCGCTGCAGTGACTATGCCTCGCTGGATCCACTCAACATCAAACAGAACAACAAGCAGGTGAGACAAGGGCCATGCCTGGCGGGAGGGGGGTCGACAGCCAGGCTGTACGTCCGAGGTTTGGGGCATCTGTGGGCTGCAGTGCCCCAGCCGTGGCTTTTGGAAGGTCTGCCACTTTTTACTCTTTGGCCATTAAATTGTTTTCCCCTTAGTTTTGCTTCGTTTTCTCTTCAGTTGTTTTTTTTCCCCCGGATGGTTTTTCCAAAACCACCCTTTGGTAACAGGGTGGACGGCGTGCGGCTGCTAGGCAACGCGAAGGCGGGCCCATGGCCAGATCTCCCTCCGAGGGAGGGTGGGGGCGTTGCGGGGCGAAGCCTGGCGTGCCCGTCGCC